CCTAGGCGGGCAAGATGATTTGGGGGGGGGGGGGGGTGCAAGCATACAGCAACAACAGGCAAGAGGTTTGAAACTCGGCAGGAAAGTACGTACATGACACTGGTGGGCTACGTGCTTGTGAGGGCATTCAGAATACAGGCCATGCCAGCAAACAGGCTATTGTTCAGTGAGGCGCAGTGGATTAGGATTAGGATTAGGATTGTTACACAGTGCACCGCGGCTGCCTGCTCCCCACTTCCGCCCGTGCTCGGCCCCACGCGCCAGGCCCCACCTTGACCCTGCTGTCCGGCGTGCTGATGACACCCTGACGGCCGCCGCACATCTCCGCATTGGCGTCCTGGTCAATCCTGACACCCACGCGCTCAAGCCCCGCGCATATCAGGCTGCGGATTAGCGCCGAGTTCTCGCCAATGCCTTTGTAATGGGAGGGGTGGGCGGGATTTGGGTGGAAGAGGCGGCGGGCGCCGGGCGGGATGGACACTGTTTGGTAACAAAGAGACGGGCAAAGCTGAGGGGGCCAAAACGCTGAGTCGCGCAAGAGGGCCACCACTTGGTGCCACCCAGCTGCCACTGCAGAGCTGAGCAGGGGCGCGCAGCGGGGGAGGCGGCCGCGGCGCGTTCAAAGCGCCGCCGCTGGCACCTGCTGAGAAGACCATCGCGTCGACGTGGCCGCCCAGTGAGAGGGTGTAGGCGCCAATATACTTGCGCACGCGGTACACAAAAACGTCCATCGCCAGGCACGCCTGGAGGGAGGGCGTGCGCAGGGCGTGGGCATGTCCATGCTGGCACAGGTGCATCCGCGAGCAGGGGCGGCGCATGTACCACGGCTCAAGCTGCCCGGGGTGCACACCCTGTCCAACACCTGGACCCGTTGCGCACCAGCCCTTGACACGCCTCCGCCCCCTCAAAAGCAACCACCTCAGCCAGGCAACCCCAGCCGCCGCGGCGCGCCCCAGGGCCGCGCCCACCTCGGGGTCCCCCTTGGCGCGGCGCTCGATGACCGCGCGCAGGTCGTTGTCCCCGCAGAGCCCCAGGAGGCCGCTCTTCTTGTTGAGGATGGCGTCCATGTCTGCCGCGGTCGCCCCCAGGGTGCGCATCAGGTGCAGCGGGATGGCGGGGTCGATGTCGCCGGCGCGCGTGCCCATGACCAGCCTTGGATTGGTGTTCCGAACGTGCGGGACGGCAGCTGAACAGGGGGAATGTGCTCACAAAAAGGGACAGCTCTAAATTGTGCCTTGCAGGGAGGTGGGCAAGGGAAGTGCGCTAGGCTTGGTGCACTCTCAGTTTAACCTGTCCCTTCGGAAGAGCATCTCTCTTCCTGCATTGCGCTGGATCAATGCAAAGTCGCCTTGCCACCCACCCCTCCAGCGGCGTGAGGCCCATGCTGGTGTCCACGCTTCGCCCGCCCTCCACCGCCGTCACGCTGCTGCCGTTGCCTGCACCAAGGCAGCAGGTTTTGGTGCACGCACATGAGACGACGGTAGGTGCCCTCTTCGTTGAGGGCTCCCGTCCCGAACGGCTTCCGACTCGGACCAATCGTGCCGATGTCGCACCACACATTGCTGCTGACCGTGAAACTGGTCGCAACATATCTAGCCCCGCGGCAAAACCAACTCTTTGGTCAGCCAGGCGCCGCGGGCCGCACCCCACCCACCCAGGTGGCATGTGATGGCGTTGAGCTGTCCCACTGGGCGCCCCAGCATTGCCGCCGCGGTCTCAGCAAGGTACTTGTGGCTGGGGGTGGTGGGGGTGTGGATGGGTGTCACGAGTCATGGGTTGGGCTGCACGACTCGCATGGGATGACAGGAAGCCGTGCTGCTGCCGGTCAGCATCCCTGAAAACCGCAAAGCATAAGGAGCAGCCCTAGCATGACTAGAGTCGTATGCAGCAGGGAGGGCGCACATCATACATCCATGCGCACAGCAGGGTGTGTACCTGGTGCCATGGAAGCCGTATCGGCGGATGGCGTGCTTCTTGTAGTAGCTGAGCGTGGTTTGACCCATGGGCAACGCAAGAGGTTGCGTGGGCACGTGAATGGCTGATGGGTGGCTGATGGGGCCGCTTGGGTGAGCACCATCAGGTGGCCCCAAAACGGTAAGACGAGCATGCAGGCTGTTGTGCCCACGAACGAGCTCAAACAGTCCCCAGCATGCGCGATGCCGCCTGCCAGGCCCCCAAGTCGGCAGGCGCCACTCACTCCAGGGGCAGTGCGTATATGAAGGCGTGTGGGGGCAGCGTCTGGTGAAATGCCGTGTCAAACACAGCCACCTGGGGGTGACCGGCAGTGAGCATTCTGTGGTCAGGAATCCATCCAGGGGTTCGAGGGAGGTTGAAAGCACTGTCGGGCAGCATCACAGCAAGTTGGCTGGCGTCACGCGCGGCGCCAGCGGCTCGCACATTGGGGACGGCGCTGCCGAAAACCTTCTGCGCCGCTGAGATGCCGGCCAGGCCCGGCGGGTTGTGCAGCGGCGCCAGCGTTGCGGCCTGGTGCGGCCCAACCGCGGGTCGGTGGGGAGGGGTCAGCAGCGGCGCGTATCTCTGCGACATGAGCATCCGATTTCCGCAAAAACCTGCTACCATGCACGCCATCATGCAGCTGCATGCGCGCTGCCGCGTGTGTGATCGCGTACGCGGCTGCCCCCCCCACGACGCGCGCTGCTGGCGGGCGTGTGATGCTGCGCCCGCAGCTCGCCTTTTCAATCGTCCTGACCACCCTGTCGTCGAGCAGGACAGCGTGTGCGATGTCCAGGCCGTGTACAATGCGGTGGCCAACCGCGGCCACCTGGGTAGCGGCGAACACGGTTGATTAAAGCCGCAAAGGGGTCTCACAGGCAGGAGCAAGGCCTTCGCGGCCATGGCGGCCGCCTAGCCAGCTGCCGGGGGGGGCAAGCCCGCAGCAAGTGGCAGGATGGAATCTTGGCGTTGGCATGGGCCTCGGTCACGGAGTGACATGCACGCCCCATGGGTGATCGACGCACCTGCGTTTCTGCCAAAGGGTAGCAAAAGGCGTAGCCAAGCTGGCCCAGCAGCCCAACCCTGTCCGCCCTTGCCGCCTCACCTCTTGCTCAATGGTCCTGCTGACATTGTCCCCCAGGAAACGTACAAGCTTCTCCAGTGCGGTAGTGTGGTCCATGATCGGCGTCTTGTCGTTCCATTTCCGTGTGCTGCCGTCTGGGAGCTGCACCTTGGCGCTCAGTGTGCTGTTGGCGGCGTCACCGATGCGCTCAATCAGTCCGCCGAAGCCTGCCACCAAGGGCGCGGCCGAGAAGAGCTGCGCGGGGTCATGATGTAGATAGGAGGCCGTGGGCTGAGGTAGTGTTGCACGGGGTTGTCCCGGCGGTCGGTGGCGGGCTCCCGGCAGATCAGATGGTGGCTATAGCAACAGCGGCCCACCTTAAACTTGAGACTTGAGCTTCCAGCGTTGATAACCAGCAGCCGCGCCGCTTCCGCTGCACATTCCATCGCGATGCTGCCGTGAGATCGATTCCTGAGGCTGGACTGCCTGCTATATTGATATTGAGGCACTTGTAGGCGTGGAGATTCAGCAAAGTGAATTGTTGTGATGACCGCCAAGAAGGCGTGACCTCCACACTGGGCGTCCAGCCCATTGTCCAGCGGCGCTGGGGCACGGCGTCAGCACCTGCAACCTGGGGGAATCATCACTCAGCCGCTGCGAATGTGCTTCAGGTGGCTGCACAGCTCGGTGGAAGGAAGCTGCCATGTCTAACCCACATATGCTGATGCATCACGGTATTACAGGAGACAAAGCTAAAAATGGTGAGTTCGACGGGCAAACGTAAAGCGGGTCATAAAGCGGGTCGGCCCAACCATGCATGACACACACCCGCCGCGCAGGCAGGGCTGGCCTGGCAGGTCTGACAATCGGGCGTGGGCAAGCCGCGCCTGCCGTCAACGCGGCGTGCGGGCCGGCCGCGCGCTCGTCGCCTTCTGCGGCTGCGCCTGCTGCCGCGTGGCACGGCCCTGCGGGTCCGGCTGCTGCGCCTGCTGCGGCGCCTGCTGCTGCTGGTCCTGCAACTGCTGCGACGACCGCGTCGAGAGCGAGCCGCTGCCGGCGCGCTTGAGTGCAGCCGCCGCGGGGCCGGACGCTGTTGCGCGCTTGACCACAGTTGGCGTGGTGGCCTGACCGCCAAAAGGCCCGCCCGGCGACATGCCATCTGACGCTGCCGGTTCGGGAACGGCCGCAACAGCTTGCCCGTCCCCTCCCTCCTGCGCCTGATGGAGTTGCTGCTGCTGCTGCTGCTCCTGCGGCTGCACCGCAGACTGCTGCTGCGCCTGTGTCGGCGTTGGGGTCGGCGGTTCTGCAGCCGCGGCTGCCGCTTGCGCCGCCGCCACGCCCCACCCTGCAGATTTGAGCGGAGCCTTGGACGGCGGCTTGGGCGGCGCGCCGCCGCCGCCGCTGCTGCGCTTTTCCGGCACGCCGCGCTTCTCCGGCGCGCCCCTCTTCTCCGGCGGGCCCGCCACGCCTCCGTCCTTCCCGTCGCCCGGCTGCGCCTTGTTCTGGTTCCGCCCGCGCTGCGCGCCCGTGCCGGCGAACCCGCTGAGCCGCCGCGCCTCCTCCTCCTCCATCACCCTGTGCAGCGCGCGGTAGTACTCGTCGCCGCTCTCCTCGTCGCCGCTGCTCTCCTCCAGGGCCGCGAGCGCGCGCGACACGTCGGCCGGCGGCTTGGCCAGGGCGGCGTCGCCGAGCTGCGAGTAGGCGGTGTTCCAAGTGGTCATGGCGACCAGCCGCGCCTTGAGCTGCTCGGCGGGGAGCTCCCGGACCGGGGGAATGTGGATGTTGACCACCTGGTGTGGGGCGGGGGCGCAGGGGTAGGGGTGGGGTACGTG